TTTATTTTTTTTCAAACATTTCTTCAAATGGAGTGTTTCGAGGTGCGGATGGTAAAGATGGTGTGCCGGGTGTGGCTGGTCCAATAGGACCACGCGGTTACCCAGGGATACTCCCTGAAATGCTTTATCGTAAAGTGGATGGTTGTAGGATTTGCCCCTATGGGCCCAAAGGAGCTACAGGTAGTCCTGGAATAAACGGAGTGCAGGTCAGTTGTTGCTCTTAGATTATGGCAACGCATGCAAGAGTTGCTTATAAACTCAGGGCTCCCCTGGCTATCCTGGCCAAGATGGGAGAAATGGTACGCCTGGAAACAAGGGACCTGTCGGAGAGCCCGGGACACCTGGACGAGCAGGAGAAAGTGGACAAATTGGTAAGCTGTAAAAGTTCTTCTCCAAATTCTTCTACCACCAATAAGAGGCTTTTGCACTTCTTTGATACTGCGTCAATAAGTATTTCAAACAATATTAGAGGTGTTACAGCTCAGTAGACGTAAGAGAGCGAAATCAAAATTTCTGAAAATTGGCTAGCACAAGGTTGTAATACGTTAGTTTGGTTTTCATATGAAACAAGTGCTTGGGATGGAGTACGAGATCGTTTCAATGTAGCTCCTTACATTCGAGCAATAAGTTAACATTAGAGCGCGCTTGTCAGGTGACAAAGAATAACCATCTATCAGTTAATTAGCTGTCAGGATCTCTAGTTGCTAACACATTTAGAGCAACCACAGCTAGTTTGGTGAGCTAGTGAAATTTCTCTTGGTCCATAGATAAAACGTTACAACGTCTTATATTTGAACGGAAACATATAATTCAAAGATGCATGCTATTAAGGAATGCTACCAGCAAATAGGTCTTGAAGCACTGGATTAAATCTTTTTTTTTCAATATTTTTGTGACCATAAATGTTTTTTCCATTAAAAACTATCTTTTATATAGTCATTAAATGCCCTAAAGTTAGAATTTGATCGTAAACAATGGTAAAAACGTGTTCCAAATAAATTTGAAAATTCTATTAAATTGGGCTCTGTTATCTCTCATATACTTATAGCCTTTGTGACAATTTTGGCAGCGAAACAACGCTCATAGCTTTTTCAAGTAAAACCTCCCGTATATGACGAAAAGAGTTTTTGAAACACCAGTTATGTCCTCACCGAATGGTATTTCTTGACCTAAACGGCTACTTTGACCAATGTACTTTCTTGTTAGAAAATAATCCTAAAAGAAACCTTACAGTGGAAAGTGGAAAGTTCACCGGTCAAAAAAATGTAGCATCTTCAAAACCTTGAGCTTCTTATAAAAGGAAGACCATCGTAGTGTAGAAGATTGATTTCATTCAAATGTTGGAAATGTGTTTCACAATCTATGACTAGCTCTGTTAAGTCAGAAGATTAAATTTTTTGAAAAAAAAAACTTTTCTTCCATAATCTAACCGGTGTTCATCGTAATAATT